TCTTATTTTATTAACTTAATATAATTGATTAAAACGATTTTTATTTTAATTTTTTAATAGTGCATATTTCATATATTTTTTAAAATCGTTATTTTAATTTGTTAATATTTTTAAAGTAAAATACCTAAATAATTTAAAAATGGCTGGCTCAAATGGACGAGGATATTTTTCTTTATTGGATTGGCTACGGAAAAATGCTTTAGTCTGTGCTACTGCTGGAGGTAATTTAAATTTTATTTATTAATTTTTACAAAAGAAAATATTTATTCTTTAAGGTGTACTTCTCGGTGCTTTATTGGGCTCTTTAATTCGTTTAGGAAATCCTTCAAGTCAGACAATTATGTTATTAAGTTTTCCTGGGGAATTACTTATGCATATGTTGAAAATGATGATAATACCTTTAATTTGTATGTTTTCTTTAAGGAGAAAATTAAAAATATTTAATTTAAAGTTTCTTCTCTTATTTCTGGTCTTGCCCAATTAGATCCAAAACAATCTGGGCGGGTATGTTTTAATTTAAAAATAAAATTTTAAAAAATATTTTTACATTAAAGGTCGGTAGTTTGGCTGTAATTTATTATTTTGCTACAACAGCAATAGCTGTTATTACTGGAATTGTTTTGGTTTTAGCTTTACATCCTGGAAATCCAGAACATCACAAAGATTTAAGTAATGGAAGAGAAATTAAAAGAGTCAGTACTGTTGATACTTTACTTGATTTAATTAGGTAATTTAAATTATTTAAATAAAAGGAAATATTCTTTTTTAAAAAGAAATATGTTCCCAGAAAATATTGTACAAGCAACAATGCAACAAATGGAGACTACCGTTCAAGTTGTTAATAAAACAATTCCTGGGAGGGACCCAATTAGATATAAACCTGTCTATAAAGATGGAATGAATATTCTTGGTTTTTAAATAAATTATTTTTATAAAAAAATTTTTTTGAAGGAATTATTGTTTTTTGCATAAGTTTTGGAATTGTTATAAGTCAATTGGGGGAACGTGGACGTATTATGGTTTGAATTGTGAATTTGTTTTTTTAATAAATTCATTTTTAAGGTTGAATTTTTTGGAGTTTTGGATTTGGCTATAATGAAACTTGTTTCTCTTATTATGTAAATTAATTAATTTAAATTAATTTTATTTTGTATTTAAATAGGTGGTATTCTCCATTAGGCATTACTTGCTTAATTATGGGAAAAATTCTTGAAGTTGATGATATTAGCAATACTTTTCGGTCTTTATTTATGGTAATATTTAAATAATCAATCTCATTAAATTCCTCAGATTTTTTTGAAAAATATTAATTTTAAAGGGGAAGTAATTAATTAAAAAAATAATTCCCTTAATATTATAATATTCTCTTTACAATTTAAATTTTATTTTATTTTTTTTAATTTAGTACACAGTAACAGTGCTAAGTGGTTTAGCTATTCACTCATTAGTTTCATTACCTCTTCTCTTCTTTCTATTAACTCGACAAAATCCTTTTATTTTTATGCGTGGATTGCTTCAAGCTTGGGTTACAGCTTTGGGAACGGTAAAAATAAATAAAAAATAAATTTAACAAAGAAAATTTTTAAATTAAAGGCTTCTAGTTCCGCTACTCTCCCAATTTCGTTTCGTTGTTTAGAAGAGAATTTGGGTATTGACAGACGTGTTACTCGTTTTGTTTTGCCTGTTGGGGCAACTATAAATATGGTAAAATAATTTTTGTATATTTTTTTTAATTTTTATTTAAAAAGGATGGAACAGCACTTTATGAGGCTGTAGCAACAATTTTTATTGGTATATAAAAATATATATATTATAAAATTTTAAATTTTTAAGCACAAATGAATAATGTTCAATTAACTTTTGGTCAAGTAGTCACTGTCTCTTTAACAGCTACTTTGGTAGTTAATTTTTAAAAAATATTTATATTCTAATATTTAAAAGTATTCTATATTCTAAAGAATATTTTTTATTAATTTAGATATTATCTATATTACTTTTACTTTTAGTATTTTAAGTTTTTAATACTTATTTTCATTAAAAGGCTTCTATTGGGGCAGCTTCTGTTCCATCTGCTGGTCTTGTTACAATGTTGCTTGTTTTGACTGCTGTTGGTTTACCCATAAAAGACGTTTCTTTAATTATTGCTGTTGACTGGTTTCTGTAAGTTTTTCTTTCTTCCAAAAATTTTTAATCTCAAAAAATTTATTCGATTTAGTGACCGTATTCGAACTTCAATAAATGTTTTGGGGGATGCATTTGGCGCTGGAATCGTTTATCATTATGCAAAAAAAGATTTGGCGAAAGCTGATGCTGAACATGCGAGAAAAATTCTTGAACAAAATGATGCTTTAATGATTGCTGGAGAAAAAGGACGGAGAAGCAGTTGAGTAATTTTGTGGGGGAAAAAGAATTGAAAAATTTATATCCTCTCTTTATTCTTAAATTCACATTTTTCTCCTAACTTTAAAAAAATTATGGGGATAATTTTTATAACAAATAACATATTCTATTCCAATATTAATTACATATTTTTTCAGCATTTATGGTTCACAATGATGATCAACAATTACAACTTTTAAATTCAAATAGGCATGGTTATGAGCCTGTCCCGAGTTCTGAGGAACCAACAGCAGTTACTCGAACAAGCGATCCTTCAACAACAACAAATAATAATCATCCCTAAAATTATTTTTTTCTCTCATTTTTCTTTAATTGCCCCCACCCCCCCCCCCCCCCCCAAAAAAATTAAGGACACAGAGCTTTTCCTTTTAATTTACCAAAATTTTTTTATTTTAGTTATTTTTATCCCGTGTGTTTTCTTTATTTAAAAGTGATTAAAAAATATTTTTTAATATATAATTTGTTATATGTATAATTCTGAATTTTCTTGGCTTTTTAAAGTGAAAAATTATGAAAAAAATTTTGTTTTAAAAAGCCTAAAAGCCAAGTTTTTTCCTTATATTGTTTTATTTTGTTTAAAAAATCCTTATATTTTTATACTATGTAGTCTCTGTCTTCGTCTAACTTTTTTTTAGATTTTCTAAAGATATCTGGCTATTTATAAATTAATATCTGATTAATAAATAAGTCAGAAAAAGCTGTTATAGAATTTTACAAAAACAATTGTACAAAAACTTTTATTTTTTTAACTCTTTCCCTTACCGGTTAATTTTTTATCATTCCTTTTTGTCACAAATTGTCAACAAAAAATAAAAACATTTTATTTTGAAATATAAAAATTTTTTCTAAATTATTTTTTTTTATCCAGAAGTAGATAAAATTATGGGAGTTTCTCCATCACTAGGTATTTGAAGTTTTTGTAAAGGAGGAGAAGGGCCTAACCAAAAAGTAAAAATCAACAATGCAAAAAATACCTGAAAAATTTAAATTTATTATGTTGAAAACATTTATTTTAGAAATTTAAACTGACACTTTCTATGGACTTACATCCTAGAAAGAGAACAATTGAATTGATAAAAGTAGTTAATATTAAAAGAGACTCGGATTTTTTCTATAAAAGTATGAATTTTCGAGTATTTCCGGCAAAGAGCTATCTCCAATCAGTCACCACATCGCACATTTTTGTCGGCGGTCGAGCAACGGCACCAAACTTCATAGACTTCTTTGGCACATAGACGATATTCGTCGAAGCAGAACAACAACAGATGTCTCACAACGGCGGTAGCAGTCAAAACAATGGCTGTAACAACGACAGAAACGACAGAGACAATGGCAGCAGTCGGCGACTTAGGGGCGTTCAGAAAGGGATCGGGCAATGCTCTTGGAGAAGTAGCTGTAACAAACGGGTGAGGATTACATTTTTTTAAATTAAAGTTTACAATATTCCGTCCCACTAATTTTCAGAAGCGAAAGACCACCGGATCTACATCACGTCAATCAGTTTTGGCCGCTGCCGCTCTTCGTCGCAATATGCCCTTCCAATTGGATGTGCTGCCGTTTGACACACTTGCAAACGCTGTCGCCTACTTGCCGTTTGATGATTTGGCCAAAATTGGACTTGTATCAAAAAAATTCCATAAAGTCTGTTTTTGACTTGTTAAGTTTAATAAAAATTTTCAAAATATTTTAGGTCCAGAACATGACAAGATATTCGCGAAAACACATCTCCGTTGGATTGCTTCGTCGTCTCTTCCCTGATGCAATAATCCCTTCTCCTAGCACTACAAGCTGTGTTGGCATGCTGCAAGTAATGAGGCCACTTCGACGAGCACTTCGTTCCTATCCATCAGGAAATATCAATGAGGTGGACTTGTCTGAGTTGTTGGCCTTTCGCGAATCGCATTTTGAGGAGCTGTTGAAGGTGAAAGCAAATCTTTTTCCTCAAAAATCAAAGATTATTTATTAATTTTTCAGTCCATCAACAACGGGAAATCGCTGTTCACAGAGGTTCGACGGCTGAACGTGCGTGGTTGTGTTGTCGAACCAAAAGACATTGCCTTTCTTGCTCAGCTAATGCCCAAAGTCTGGTTTGTGCGCTGCTCACCACAAACGCTTGTTCTGCCAGAAGAAATGTTTGTTTCTAGATAAGTTTGAAGAAATAATAATTTTGTTTCTTTTAAAGCAAAGAGCATCTAATGCTGACTGCCGAACAACAATATCAACTACGAAACCGAGTGGAAGACTATGCCCAACTTTGCGGGAAACTAACGCAGCGACAACTCTTGCTATTGTCTCAACTCACCGAGCAATTCCCGTGTCTTGAAATGGTTCAACTAGACAAATTGTAACATCAACTACATAAATAAATATAAAGATAACAACTATACAAAGAAGGAAGAGCAGTAAAGAATAAAGATGTGAATGAACATTTCTCAATTATTGTACATAAACACAAACTTATTTTGAATGATTGTAATTTTGTTTTGTATATTTGTAAATATTGTGTATATATGTATGTATATTATCTATATGTATAAATACCCTCTCCTTATCTTTTTGTAAATTTAAATATTTTTTTCAAAATAAATGTTAATTATTTATTAATTTACCGCAAAAATTGAAAAAGACATTATAATAAGCCATGTTTGTATTCCAAAGCAGCAATCTGTCATAGTTTCCCCACAGCAAATATACCAATGGAAGGGAGATCCAGAAGGGCATTGTGTGTGCCTATCTAGGGTCAGATTACGACACCATTGGCCAAAGTGTTTGTCTGCCCACGCATTAGGGCGAGTAAAGTTGATGGAAATTGGAGGTGGCTCTGGAGGCCAAGCCTTTTTAAATTAAAATATAATTGGGAAAGGAAATGTTTTCATATAATATTTGAGGCTATTATTGGAGTTGAGTATTACAATCGTTTAAAATTTAGTTTTCAGTAAAAGTAAAATAATCTAATCTTAAAACAATTTTACGAGTGAGAAGGTAGAAAATATTTTTTAAGGAGAATTGTTAAAATTTTAGTGAGGATAAATTTGTTTTGAGGTGTCAGATGTTATTTAACATTCAGTCAACCTTCCGTAATTTTAAAAATTTAAAATAAACCTGAACAGGTTTAGGAGGATTTTGAAGAAGAAATTCAAACATTTTTGTTTAGAAAAGTTTATTTATTTTCTCTTTTTTTCAGAAATCCTTTTTTTATTCTTGCATTGTATTAATCTATTTAATAGTAAAATGATGGAAAAAATATTTTTTTATAATGGATTATATAAATGGTGAATGTTTTTTAATATTAAAACTATTTAAATATAATTTATTTAGAATATATTTTGCTTTGTAGAAAAATAGGGATAATTTTAATTATAAAAATTAATTTTTAATAAATATTTAGAAAAAAAACTAAAAAACAATTTAAATGCCTTCTTAATTAATTCTCGTTAAAAATATTGTGACTTTTTGTTTTTACAATTTACTAAAAAAGTACGAGAATATATAAGTAAAAAAAAGAGAAAGTGAACATTGTACGCGATTGACTTTATAAAAATAAAATTAAGAAAACCGGCTACTATATTTGTTGATCTAAAAATAAGAAAAAGAAAAAATAATAATTTAAATTAATTTCTAAATATTTTTCTTTAAAATTGTAATAATTATTAATTAATTAAATAATCAAATACTCTTCTCTACCAATTAGGCGCCAATTTTTTTTTCTAATAAAAATTAGTTTAAAAAAACAGTAAATTGTTTATTTTTTATTTTATATAACCTTGAGTCAACAACAGGTTAAAAGTAATTTAAAATAAAAAATTTAAAAATTATTAAATTAATTCAAAAGGTTTTGTGTTATTATTTGTTCTATTAAAATTAATTATTCTACTACCTCCTCCTTGGTGTTTAAAACTAAAAGAAAATAAATTAATTTTAAAATTAAATTAAAATTAAAAAAAAACTTTTTAAAAATATTTTTTTCTTCATTTATTTTTTGATTTAAAAAATATTTATTTTTATTTATTTCTTCTAAAGTTGGTAATGTTGTTATTGTTGAAGTACTTGAATTATTACTACTTAAATTATTTAATGATTTTGATGTAATTATTGAGTTATTAGAAGAATAAAGAGAAGGGGAGGGAGAAGGAGAAGGAGAATAATTATTAATTAAAATATTTTTTGTGTTTAGCCATTCATTTCGTCTTTTTTCAGTTAGAATTTTACTAAATAAATTTAATTAAATAAATATTGAAAAAGATTATTCAAATTAATTAATAGAGTAGAAATTATTTAAATTAAATATTTTAATAGGTATTTAAAAATGGTCCTCTTCCCATTTATTTTTTTCGCTTTTCTCTTTTTTGGGCGAAGGTGAATTTTACATGTAATTTTTAGATTTTACATTTTCCAAAATTCTCAAAAACGTTATTGCTAATTATCCATCACAATGGCGTCCCTCCAAGAAAATAAATTTTTAATAAAAATCAATTGGGTATCAGGTTCGGATATCCGAGGATTCCCAGTATTTAAATAATTCTCTTGAAACCGCCAAATAATTTTTAAATAATACAAAAAATAAATGTAGATATTTTTAATTATATTTATTTTTTATTTAAAGAAAAACCTTCCTCCTCCATTTCTCTCCTCTTCCCCCCATTTATTTTTTCCTCTTCTCTTCTTCTGATTTCTAAATTTTTCCATCATTTCTTGTCGACATAAAAATTCTTGATTATTTTCTACAAAATTTTGTCTCGTCATTTCTTTCAATGGAATAAATGAAGAAAAATGTGAAGAAGAAAATTGTTTATTATTTTTAGTCCCCCCTTTACTGGGTTCATAAAAAATATTAAATTTTCTGTCATCCAAACTGTGAGCCTTTAAAAAAAGTTTTTTCTAATTTTTGCAAATAAATAAATATTTTTTGAGAGAGAGAAATAAATAAATAAATATTCCAAATATTTATTTTTGCAAAAGTTTTTGTAATTTATGTTTAGAATTTTAGAAAGAGAATTGTTGTAATATAAAATAAATATTTATTAAATTATTTAAATTATAATTGTAAAGAAGAGGGTAATTTGTTAAAGAAAATTATAAAAAATACAAAAAGTTATAATTTTGAGTTTGAGGAATTGGTAAAGAAAAAAATTTCTTCAAAGTCTTTTTCTTCAAATCTTTAAAGATTTATTGAGAAGAGGGGTGGAATAATTAGGTACTTTAATAATTAAAACTATTTTCCCAATAGTTCTAATCCAAATTTTTTGAATTACAAAATTAAAAACAAACCTGTCTTTGAATTGGTAAATGTTGAGGTGGTAATATTAAATTAAAATTGTTAGAAGTTAATTTTGAATTAGTTAAATATTTATTTGTTGAATTGTTTGTTGTTGGGGTTGCTGGTAAATATCTCTTAAAATTTAAAAAAGAAAAAAAAGTTTTTTAAAAAAAATAAAAAATGTCCAACGATTTATGATGTTTAAAATTATTTTTCAATAAATTAAAGTAATTAATTATTAAATACAAGTTTATATATTTAATTAATTAATTATTTGTACAGACAAGTTTTAACTTTAAAATAAAATACTTCCACAAAAACTTTTTTATTTAAATTTTTCTTTAAAATTTATTTAAAAAAACCTTTGTTTGTTTAATAGGCCAATTCCTCCAAATTTCATTTTTTGTTAAATAATTATTATTATTTATTTCCTCTACTTCCTCCTCTTCTTCATTAAAATAATTAGGTAAATCCCAAGAATGTATTTGTCGATAAATATTATTTAAATGTTTAGAATAATCTTTTATTTTTGTAGGTATATTAGTATATTGTTGTTGTTGTTGATTAGTTGAATAAATCTTTTAAAAAAATAAATAATTAAATAATATAAAACAATAAAAGGGATGTTGATTCTTCTAAAAATTTCTAAAACAAATCAAAAACAAACCAAAAACAATAAATTAAAATAATATTTTTAGTTGCAAAAAAATTTTTTAAATTAAAATAAAAAAAGTTTTTCTTTTTAAATTTTGTATAAACAGCCAATCCTCCCAAAATTAAATATTTATTTATTACAAAATTGAAATAATCAAAAAAAAGAAAAGAAAATTAAGTCAATAATTAAATATAAATATAAAATAGTTAGAGAATTTAATGGATCCACTATTTTATAATATAAAATATATGCTCAAATATTATCACAATTTTCAATCAAAAAATTCAAAATACTTAAAAATCTGATAATATTTTTTTATTTTTAGAGAAAATATTTATTTTTGTTTTGTGTTTTAATTTTTCTCTGCCTCTTTATGTAAATAATTTTTTATAATCTTTTTATGTTTCCAAAACAATTTCTAACCCCAATATACATATATAAATACTAAATTTATTTCTAAAAATCTTTTTCTTTTTAAATTACTTTTATTTTGTTTTTTTAAAAAATTATATTCAAAATTCTGTTAAATTCCCCTCCAGTCAAAAAGTACAAGTTCTTTTACAAAAAAGTGGCTAATACAGATTTTAGAGTATTTTAATTATTTTTTTGTGTATTTATGTATTTTATAGTTTATATTTATTTTAAAAATATTACCCAAAATTTAATACAAACTATTCCCAAAAATATTTATTTTTGTACTTTTTTTAATATTTTCTTTTTTAAATTATTTTTAGAAACAAAATTTTAAAAACAAAAAATTCTAAATTTGGAAAATTTTGGGAAAAAGCCGAATAAAAAAATTAGTTTTTAGTGTTTGTACTGGAAGCTGTTTAAATAATTTAGCAATCTAAAAATAAAATCCCAAAGATAATTTAAATAAAAAGAATATTTAGAGAATTTATTTTTATTTGAAATATTAATTTTATTTTAATTTTTAATAAAATTTATTTTTGTTTTTATATTTAAACAAATTTTTATTTAAAATTCTATTGTTTTTTTGGGGAATTTATTTAATATTTAGCTATTTGATTATTTTAAATTAAAATAACCTAAATTTTTGGTAATTATAAATTTTTTAAACATTTTAGAAGGACAATTACTTTCTCATTTATACTTTCTCAAGATTAAAATCTGTATATTTAAAATCTGTATACTAGGGAGAACAATTAATTTTAAGCTCTCTTTTCAATAAATTATATGCCAAACTATCAACTGTACATATAAAAAATTTTTCAGAGATTATATGCATGGATTAAGTGAATTGATTTGGTAAGACATCGAGGATAGGGCGGATATAGGTTAATTTATGCTGATTTCCGAGTTCCGAATTTTGACCCATTTCTGATTTCGTCCCCTTCGGCATTTCCGACCAACCCCTGGTATACATTATTAAGAGTATAGTATCAGTATGTCCTCACTAAATTTAATTTTATAATACTATAAACAATGGGAGTATTATACTATAACGAGACTCGATCGTGTAACTAACCAAAATTTCAACGAATAAGAAACGGCTGGCAAACTTATACATATTAATAATAATTATTTAAAAAATATTAATTAAATCATTTCCCTTTCTCTCTCTCTCTCTCTCTCAAATATCCAAAAATTAATTATTCTCTCTCTTTATATTACAAATAATTATAAAACATTTATATTATTTACTTAATGATCACTAAAATAACCAAAAAAAGATAATCATTTTTAATATTTCAATGATCATTTATTTTCTGTTACTTTTGACATAAAAATAAATTATAATCGAGTAAGTTTGAGTAAAATACAAAAATTAACAGAATTATTAAAACTATTTACATATATACAAGTTTACCCTCTTTAATACATATAATCCAAAAGCGGATATATTAGCGGAGGTCATTATTAAATAAATATTCATCATATATATTGAGAAAATAGAGAAAATAAAAAAATCTTTTATATATTTAAGTTGCAATTGATGATTAATATATATTTATTTTTTGGTAAAATTTATTTATTTCAAATGTCTGATGCTCATAAAATTTATTTGTAAACATTAATTACTTCCTTCATAAAACTTTTTTTTGTAAGATACAAAAAATCCTTTAATTTTTTAACCTCATCCAATTTTTAACTTTTAAAATTCCTCTCTTCAATCTACTAATTTATTTTCCAAAAATTTTTAGTCGAAACAATTTATTTAAATTATTATTCTACTATTTTTTAATTAAAAAGTAATTTTAAAAATTAATTTTTATTTTTTTTCTTGCAATTTTTTCCTTTAAAATTACCCCATTCATTACTTACTTAGTTCATAGAATTTAAAATTTAAAAAAAATTTTGTTGCGCCGGAAATTTTTATTTGTAAAATGGGGTACACGACTAATAGGCGCGGCCGAATAGGCGCCGACGAATAGGCGCCATTTTTTCGGCGCAGCATGTTTTTGGCGTTTAAGCCAAAAAATTTAAATATACAAATAATAACTCATTTGCATGAGTTCGACGAGCAGAGTCGAGTGATAATGATGGTCTTCGCTACACGATGGCCGCCGCTTCGCTACGGTCGCCGCGAGCGAAGCGAGCACGACCGCAGCGAAGCACGGCCATCGTGTAGCGAAGACCATGCCCGGCCTACCCTCCGTAGCAGCACAAAAACAGTTTTTCCAGCGAAGATTCCGCTGATCATAACTTTGTTCATAATCAAGAATCAAGCTGGGTTCATTATCACTCGACTCTGCTCGTCGAACTCATGCAAATGAGTTATTATTTGTATATTTAAATTTTTTGGCTTAAACGCCAAAAACATGCTGCGCCGAAAAAATGGCGCCTATTCGTCGGCGCCTATTCGGCCGCGCCTATTAGTCGTGTACCCCATTTTACAAATAAAAATTTCCGGCGCAACAAAATTTTTTTTAAATTTTAAATTCTATGAACTAAGTAAGTAATGAATGGGGTAATTTTAAAGGAAAAAATTGCAAGAAAAAAAATAAAAATTAATTTTTAAAATTACTTTTTAATTAAAAAATAGTAGAATAATAATTTAAATAAATTGTTTCGACTAAAAATTTTTGGAAAATAAATTAGTAGATTGAAGAGAGGAATTTTAAAAGTTAAAAATTGGATGAGGTTAAAAAATTAAAGGATTTTTTGTATCTTACAAAAAAAAGTTTTATGAAGGAAGTAATTAATGTTTACAAATAAATTTTATGAGCATCAGACATTTGAAATAAATAAATTTTACCAAAAAATAAATATATATTAATCATCAATTGCAACTTAAATATATAAAAGATTTTTTTATTTTCTCTATTTTCTCAATATATATGATGAATATTTATTTAATAATGACCTCCGCTAATATATCCGCTTTTGGATTATATGTATTAAAGAGGGTAAACTTGTATATATGTAAATAGTTTTAATAATTCTGTTAATTTTTGTATTTTACTCAAACTTACTCGATTATAATTTATTTTTATGTCAAAAGTAACAGAAAATAAATGATCATTGAAATATTAAAAATGATTATCTTTTTTTGGTTATTTTAGTGATCATTAAGTAAATAATATAAATGTTTTATAATTATTTGTAATATAAAGAGAGAGAATAATTAATTTTTGGATATTTGAGAGAGAGAGAGAGAGAGAAAGGGAAATGATTTAATTAATATTTTTTAAATAATTATTATTAATATGTATAAGTTTGCCAGCCGTTTCTTATTCGTTGAAATTTTGGTTAGTTACACGATCGAGTCTCGTTATAGTATAATACTCCCATTGTTTATAGTATTATAAAATTAAATTTAGTGAGGACATACTGATACTATACTCTTAATAATGTATACCAGGGGTTGGTCGGAAA